TACGTGAAATCACTTATGTCAAAGTTTGAGGTTCCTAGGCTATTATCTTCGGGTCAAATAAGGTCAAACAAAGTCGGACTCCAAGCTGGTCCCCAAAGGTCTCCTGAAACCTGTATAGCTGTTTTAAACTAATGTTACATGCTCTTATAACATCAGTGAATTCATTTGAAATTTGAAGGTCATGGTGGCCAAAATCATGCAAGAACGCTGTGAGTTTTGCATTTAGGTGAGCGATAGAAATTACGGTAGAGAGTGTGTTGCGAAAAACAAAACGCTCATCTAGGCCATCCAGGTCAGTGACCTATTCTGACCTGTAAAAAGTCCATGGAAGTTGTATAGTGCAGTTCCAGTTATCGATAAATTCGAAATGAGCACCAGAGACTACTGCATACAGCAGGCACCCGAGTAATAAGCAGGTTGATTTTTATCATGGTCTGACCTTCATACCTGACTTTAGATCAATGTAATTTGCTCATTCAATTGTTGTGTTGCCTAAGGGAGTATCTCAGACATGTATGGCTTCGTCTAACACTCCGTTGTTGGATCAAATGCAAAGATTCTCTAGAAATTGCCTTCGCTGAAATCATGGCCTGACTTTGACCAGCTATACGTCAGCGACCTTACAAGGTATATCTAAATTTTTGATGTCAGGCGATCCGCTATTCAGTTGTCTACAGCTCCGGGAAAAAAACCTTCTGGGGTCAAGTTGAACCTCTCCCGACCACGTGTTAATGTCAATATTCGCAGAACGTTTACGCTGCTGACATTTTCTTTTTTCTGGTTTATGTGCATCGTCCAGGTTCAACCGCGCACCCAGTGAGAATACGGCTGTGGGTGTGACGTTACCAATCCGACACCCTCCAACAATCAATACGTTTACGTTTACGTCAACGTTTCGTTTATATAATACGTCAACGTTTCGACACGTGTTCCATACGTGTTCGTGCTGCAAGTATTAGTGAATGCACATCAATACCAAGCCTTGAGTTTCGTCTAGCCGTGCTCGTGCTGCAAGTATTAATGAATGCACATTCAATACCAAGCCTTGAGTTTCGTCTAGCCGGGATGTTCTGTTGTAAAATGGTCTCGTCTATTATGTTATGTCTGTTATGGTTTGTTTGCATAATCACAATTTTGCCAACAACTGGTTCGCAAAAGCGTCAGTTTTTGTCACCGATCATTGCCGGTACATCGGAGACCTTTTCACCCTATTCGTCACTTCCAGCGCCACTCTCGACGGTTCGTCAAGGGCACCTTACCGATTATACCCCCCCAAGTGAAAGAGTAAAACGTAGCCCGCTTGGCGGGGGTAAGTCGATTTCTTTTCCACGGTTTTTTTAGCACAGGCCGAAAAAAAACGCGCCCAGCAACATGACATTTTTAGTACCTGCGCATCCATCAATTTCGCATTCTATGTGCTAATTTTAAGTTTTGATCAAGCATCATCAGTGACGTAGGTCAAAGAGGTCAACCTGTGAAAAACTTTGACCATACATAATGTTTTTCTGTGATTTGCGACTTCGCAAACTTGCTAGAGTAATCATACACAATAGTACCATGCTTACAGGGAAATTCTTCCATTTTTCGTAAGTTACGAAAATTCGCACTTATCTTGCGCTGACACCCTGCACCGCTGTAGTGTCGGTTGTAGTGGTGGCGCGGCCGGCAACTCAGCACTGTTCGAGCGATGACGCTGTTTTCTGAAAGCGAGCGAAAATGGAGTTCGGCGTTTCACCGGTGTCGTGGGTTCGCTGTTTAAATCGATGCATGCCGGGCCGTCCCGCTTGTTTAGTTTGAACTCCATCTGGAGAAACCCATATGTGGGCTCAGTATGTAGGAACTAGATCAAAGTGTGCCCGCCATTCCTGCCAGGGCGAGAGGCAGGCGACGCTATATAACCTAAGCAGCCGAGTCCTTCGTTAAGCCCCAATGATGACGACAGTAACTTCGTATATATATATATATATATATATATATATATATATATATATACCCTTAACGTCGAACCAGCATGCTTCTTTCTTCTCCAAGCTGTTGAAAGCATTTTTTTAGCTTAGGTGCATCGCTACGCATACTGATACCTGTTTTCGTCGGTGTAGGCGATGTTATCGGATGACACCGTATGACCCCAGTGGTGTATTGTGACGACTGGCTGCAGGAGCGCTTCCGAAATGAACATTTCACTCCAGAGCGCAACTCAATGGCGATTTGCGACCACTCGTCATCGCAATGTTCCTGCAGCACTGAGAGCGTACTCTTGGCCGACTGAGAGCGTACTCTTGGCCACTGAGAGCGTACTCTTGGCAGGTCAGCGTCCGTATTTTATGGAATAATGGAACACTGGGTCGGCTTGCTTTGTGACGCGGCTTTTTATTCCAGCTCACTCGTCCACTCCTAACGATGTACCGAAGCTGTGCGTTCAGCTGGTTGACCTCACACAGAATGAAGCGACTTTCTCGGGATACATGTAACTGTACACCTCGGAATTGTTCTTGGGATATATGTACCTTGAGTGTGGCTCCGCCTTTATGGAGTGCAGTTTCACAGTAGTACATCACGGGCATTTCGTCTACCGCCATCACTGCCCACCGCACGCCAACAATGTTCGGGGACGGAGACATTGGAACAGCAACAACAACGGGGAATGTGGAAGCGATCGCCACAAACAGTTGTTACGACTAATCCTCACTATTTCATTACAGGTCCTTCACTGGCCGTCTAAGTTGATGTCACATGGTGACCATTCTGATCCCTCTCCAACCGAGGTCACTTTCACCAGCCTGACCTCCCGACCGAGGTCACCACTTAGCGAGGGGAGCACTGGCTACCAGTTTGGCCCAGGTTCCAGTAGGCGTTCTCGTTGAAGGCGGACGTGGGCCCTTCGCCGGCCGGCTGCGTGGCCGCGGGTGTCCAATAGCCGACTTCGCTGTAGGGCGGCGGCGGCTGCTCGGGCGCGCCGTACGGCGGCGGCGCCAGCTCGGCCGTCACAAACCCTGGCGGTGGCGGCGGCGGCAGCGGCGGCGGCGGCGGTGGCGGTGGCGTCGGCGGTGGTGGCGCCGCGGTGCCGATGATGAACACTCCTCGACCCCGACGGTCGAACACCACTGCCGTAGGTCCGGCGCCTTGCATCGCGTGCAGCAGGTGCCGCCGGATTCGCAGGCTAATCATCGCCATTGCCCATATCAGTAGCACTTCGATGACGAAGTTGGCGACCCAGACAGTCCAGGTCCAGACTGACCTCCAAGGTAATTAGAGCGGTGTTGAGCAGCACGAGCCCGAAGAGGACGAGGCGCAGTGTCTGCAGCTGGCGCAGTGTGGCCATGGCTGCGGCGGTCCGTCGGCGGCCGCTGTTGGTCAGGTGTGCGGCGGTGGCGGCGGCCTCCTCACGGCCCGCCGACCCTATCTCAGAAGGTCTGACGTCACGCGGGCGGTGGTCACCTCACACAGACAGTGGTGACGTCACGCGAACTGTGGTGACGCCATGGGCGCCATGACGTCCTTTTGACGTCATGTTTAACTGGCTGCGCACGGCATGGATCGAGGCACTGCCGGCGTGAGGCATCTCAAGTATAAGTTGCATTACTCAGATTGTACGAGCCTTGCCGGGACAGATGGTTCCACCCTTCGTGTTTTTAGGGACAGGAGACATCTCCCGAACCAGTAGCGATCATAATGAAGTCTGGACTAGCTGACTGCGAAACTTTCCCATAGGGAGTAGAAATTTTCGTTGACCGATAGATAAAAAATGTTTTGGCGCCGCTGTGAAAAACTAAAAAATAAGGCATCTGTTGCCTGTAGCTGTGATTCAGCTGGCTAAAGCGGCAGCTCAGGAGGACGGGGTGGCGAGGGGCTCACTAGGGCATAGCCTGATTCAGCTGGCTAAAGTGGCAGCTAAGGAGGACGGGATGGGGAGGGGCTCACTAGGGCATAGCCTCTTTTTCCGAAACACTGAGGAGGTGGACAACTTTAACCCTCAGACGGTGGTCAGGGCTCTAGGTTCTGCATGACGAAAAGGTGGAAGCGAGCGCTCCAGGCATGAAGAAACGAAGTGTGCGTTACTAGACACATGCTTGCCATTATATTCACCGCGCCTGGTCCAGTTATTTGGAGCGTGTCAAGTGATTCTAAAATAAAAACCAATATCCATGCGTTGCAAGTCATTGTAGTTTGTTGTTATATTACCTTAAATGCGGACATTTGCATTGAATGCACCTAATATTCACCGGCTCGCTATAGTATGAACCTAAATCACTCACATGTTTTAACAATGGTTGTAACGCTGAATCAGGCTGAACATCACGTCAGATATTTGGTAATATTCACTCAAATTCAATTCATGCAATATATATATATATATATATATATATATATATATATATATATATATATATATATATAGGGATATATATATATAGATAGATGGATGAATAGATAGATAGATATAGATATAGATAAAGGTATATATATAGATATATATACATATGTAGAGAGAGAGAGAGAGAGAGAGAGAGAGAGAGAGAGAGAGAGATATATATATATATATATATATATATATATATATATATATATATGTATGTATGCATATACAGATGCAGCACGGACGAGCTGCTCTGAGCTATTTGTGATGATTGTGTATGTTGATGGTCCCGATTTTGTTACGAGATTGTGACAAACGCATATCATTATATGGCATATCACTACTTGGTGTCAAACCGTTGCTGACTTTTCTCGACCTCACACCAAGGATATCTACGACAATGAAACGCATGCGTGTAAATGAAGCGGATGTAATTGTGTGCACTAAGCTTGTGATAGTGATTGGAGCTGCACATGGCAAGGACTGCCAGGAACATTGCGGGAAGAACGTGGAGCTTTAAAATATCATGTGTAATGATAGACCCTGAGTTTAACACCGCGCATCTTTATACTAGCAGTTGGAATATCATGGAGTTGGTATCGGTCCATTGTATGCAGATCAACAAGTCCGATTTAATACTACATGAGTGAATGCGTTTGTATTTCATTGCACCAAAATTGCCAACAGTAGAGCAGGTAATGTCATGGCATTAGGTCATGACATGACATGAGGTCATGCCAATGTTCAGTCCAGAGGTCGGACAGCATTCTCGCCGTGCATTTTACACATAATGTTGCGTGAATATACCATGGTATCGAATAGCAGATAAGTAGTAATTATTGGTAAGATAGAATATGATATCGTTTTTTGACTAGTACATTGAATAATCGACGAAGGGAACATGTTTCAAAAGAAGCATCAGTGATATTGCGCGCATACAAGCTGCTCGCAGCAGTAACCTGCATCACTAATACAATTTCGTCGTCTGTTCCAAAGGGGAATGAATGGACTTATGGCTCGTAGCTAATAAGCTCAAACGGCAAATAAGCGGCAAATTAAAGCCAGTGGTAGCAAGAGCAAGGATTTCCATGACGCCGCCTGCTGAGCGGCATGCTCAGACCTCGCCGACACATACCATTGGAATGTACAGCATCTGAACGGCCCGGCAACACGGTCATTTCGGCACATTCGTAACCGAGCTCAACGTGTTGCAGAGGCAGCCCAGCCTGCAGCATATCAACTTCACAGAGAGCATACGCGGATCACTCGCAAACGTCGAACCGACTGCATGCAGAGACCAGTCACCACCGTGGATCGCTTTGCCAACGGTCCCTGCGCTGCTCCGGCCCGCGTCCCCGCCCAGCGCGCCGCGTCTGCCCCTGCGAGAGACGAGGGTGTCCCCTACTCAGGTCGCGCCGGTGCTTCTTCCAACACGTCACGGTGCCTTGATCTCCGGCTCCTCTTCGGCGGCAGCTCCCTGCACGGGCCGAACCGGCAGCTCCGCCGCGGACGCCAAGGCCCCCGGGTCGTCCTCACGTCGGTCCCACGCCTGCCGCTCCGCCGACATCATCAGCTGGTACAACACCAGGCTGACAAAGAAGATGCCGGCGCCCAGATAGAAGACGTTGTTCCAGCGCTCGGCCGTCTGTTCGCCCCGAATCATGGCGCCTGTGACGATCGGGTTCAGCGTGGAGACGCCGTTGCCGATCAGGTTCGCCACGGAGAACACGGAGCCAGAGTAGTTTGGCGCGATGTCGAGCGGGTTCACCAGGTGCCCCGTGCCGATGAAGCCGTTGAACACGCCGGAGAGGCAGAGGAAGAACGTGGCGACAGCCGGCTGGCAGCCGACAAAGGTGACCAGCAGCAGCAGCAGGCAGCAGCCGCCGCTGACCAGGACCGCGGCCGTGCGTCGGATGGCCGCCACGGAGAGCCAGCTGCGGCGTAGCGCCAGGTCCCCCAACGCGCCGGCCACCAGGAAGGTCAGGCCGCGCCCGAGCAGCGGCAGCCCGCTCAGTGCTCCGTTCGCGCGCAGGTCGAAGCCCAGCACGTGCTTCATATAGGTGGGCAGCGACGTCATGAGGTAGGTGAGTGCCCAGCTGTTGGCCGTCTCGGAGACGACGATAGCGAGCGCGGGCGGCGAGCGCAGGATGGCCAGATATGGCGGCCGGTGCCGCGTACGCGGCTGCGTCACGTTGCCAGCTGCGATGCGGCGGCGCTCGGCGCCGCTGGCGCGAGGATGCTCACCGGGAGTGTCGTGCACGAGCGCGAACCAGGCGGCGCACCAGAGCAGCGCTACGCCGCCGGACGCGTAGAAGATGGCGCGCCAGCCGAGTGCCGCCGCTATCTGGCCGGCCAGCGTTGTCGTGCCTGCGACACCGAACGCCGTGAACGCGTTCACCACGCCGAACGCACGCTGCCGCTCGTCGAGTGGGAACCAGCGCGCCACCAGCGGGAAGAGACACGGGTAGACGGGGCCGCAGGCGAAGCCCTGCAGCACGCGCGCGGCCACCACCCAGCCGGCGCCCTGGGCGGCGGCCTGCGGCAGCAGCAGCGCCAGCGCGCCGTTGGCCGCCTGCGAGCAGCCCAGCACCAGCTTGCTGCCGAACCGCTCAGCCAGGAAACCGCCGGGTACCTGCATGACCAAGTAGCCCCAGTAGAAGGCCGAGAGCAGCGTCCCCTGCGTCACCTCATCCCAGGCAAACTCGCCCTCATCGTCGGCGCCGGGGCGGGGCGCCGGCGCGGCGCCGCTGCTCCAGTTGGAGCAGGTGACCGGCGCTGGCTGCTCCGTGTGCGGAATGGCCGTGTGGTTGACCATGGCGACGATGGCCACCGAGAGCGTGACGCGGAGCATCATCTGCACGACGAAGCCGGCCGTCACCAACAGCAGCATCAGCAGGCGGACGGGCGGTCGGCTGCAGCGACCGACTCCGCTCTCCTGGTCCGGCAGCTTTCCGGCTGGCGGGGCAAAGGGACGGCGTTCAGATACAGCTGACGTGGGCACACCAAGCATGTAGCTCAGATTGATATGTGGGCGGCGGACACATGGTTATAAGCCACAGACCTATTTTCCGGTCCATGTGGAAAAATCTAAAACAGCGAAAGAACGAATAACAAGGTTCCTCAGGTTCTCGGATGCTAACGTCGGCGCAGCTGGTCACGACGTGTAGCTTACACCGTTTGGTGAAGGCCAGAACAGAGAACAGAACACCTGAAAACCGTATCGTGGGTCGGTGCATGCAGCCGGTCACACCAATCCCAGGGCCGGCCATACACCAGCCTGTTTGGAACAGTCTTGAAAGACCTTGTAAACTTTGGGCCATATCCACAGTATGGCTAAAAACGCTTATGGCTTGACACCTATTAAATTGTTAACAGCCTTAATTGTCACCTATAGCTCCAAAATGCGTTTCATTCCGTGTCTTTTGGCGACGTTCATAGCATCCAAGCTCGCAACGTCCAAAGTCGCAGCATCCCATGTTCATAGCATCCAGCGTTCACATCCATGATTGGTTTTGATTCCTGGTGCTAGATGCCACTACAGTGCTTAAGTTTTTCCGATGTCTGTTGCTAGATGATACAACAATGGCATACTTCCTTCTTTCACCAACAGATGGCTCATTCGAGCCGGCGTTCAGCCCATGATCACGTGATAAGTACAGCGGAACATAACATGAATCACCTTGAGTGCCTGGCGGCTGGCGGCCCTACAGGCGGGTTCAAGCATGCGTTTCGTATGCTTGTATACGTTCCCTTATGGTAATCAGGGAGCCTTTGCCCCATCGGTGCCAATTTATGTATACTGCAGCGTTACGTTTAGGGCGCACCATGCAAGGAAAATGCCTAAATGAGCTCCATCGTTGTCATTACTTGCAAATATAGATAAGCTTATACAAATATATACAAGCATATATGTATATATATATATATATATATATATATATATATATATATATATATATATATATATATGTATGTATATGCTTGTATATATTTGTATAAGCTCATCTATATTTGCATATATATATATATATATATATATATATATATATATATATATATATATATTCGCTGATGCATCGACCGTCGAAGAGAACGGTATTATGTTTGTTGAATACTCTACGATTATGCCTTCAATCTTCCGGCTTTCAACACCGTCTTTTGATTGAATAGTAATTCACCAAGAGGCATCCTTTTATATATTGATGATTTAACGTTTGAGATGCATGGTCTGGTCATGCATGGAAGGGCCCCGAGTCCGGCAGGGAGGGTGTCTGAGGGGTCCAAAGAAGGGTCCAAAGGGCCCCTAGGGACCAGCCATCAGCGGCCCGAATTGAGGACCACAGGGCCGGACCCTCAATGTCCCGTCAACGGGCCCTTTGCGCCGATCGGGGACCCCTGGGTCGATGAAGGCCTCTGTGTCAGTCAGGCTCCGTCAGTACAGGACAGTCGGCTTCGTTTCGGTCCGGACCTGAGGGCCCATTTCCCAAGCAGGAACAAGGCGGGGACCTGCAATTTACATTAATCACGGCCCCTGACTCAATAGAGGCCCCTTTGTCGGTCAGGTGTCCAGAATGCCTAACAGGGGGTCCTTCGTTGACAACTGGTCCCGAGTCCACCAAGGGCAGCGTTCGAGGGAGCTCGACAAGGGGTCCGGAGAGCCCTACGGGATTGCTGATTACGACCCCGAGTTAGTCAGGGGCAGTCATTGAGGGGGTCCAAAGTGCTGGCTGGAGTTGGCATTAAGGGGTCTGGTCCGCAGCCCCAGCCCCTCATATGCCAATCAGAGGGCCTCTTGCGTCCAGCACAGGCCCTCTGATTCGGTGAGGGCCTCTGTATCGGTCAGGCGCCAGTAGTGCGGAACAACCGGCTCCGTATTGCCCGGGTCTTGTGAGCCCATTCCACAAGTATGGAAAAGGCAGGTGCCCAATTTTTGCACTAATCAGAACCCCTGAAAAAAGGCGGCTGCGTCGGTCAGTGGCCAAGTGCCAAACAGAAGTCGCTGTCTCTGCAAGGCGGCACGAGTTATTGCTTAAATTTTATGGACTCCGAAACATCTGACCGAGTTATAATCGGAGTAGCATAACGCGAGGGCTTTGGCCCCAAGAGATCGGAGTGCAAAAGTGTGCATTCATATATGTTATGCTCAAGTAATATGTCGTTGAAAGCAATACTCCTGCATGTATATTTGACGCACGTGCAAGTACCTGCGCTCGCTGTGAGGATTAAGACATGGGCTCGCTCGCTTATGTCTTAACCCTCACCCTAATTCCCGTTTTTCATAACGCGGACTGATAGAGGGGGAGGGGGTCGATGCGACTTTAGGCTTTTCCAAACTATAAAGATAGAGCTTAGTGGAACATCACAATGGGTTAGTACCAACAAGATCTCGCGATTGATACTGGCTTGCATGCTCTTAGGTCAATAATTGACCCTATTCTGCCACGTCAAACTTCGAATTTCCGGAAAATCGCACATTTTATGCTTTACGACACCATACCTGAGACCATGCCTTGTGCCGCACGGAGCACAAACCGGTGCTTTTTTTCAATTCTGAGCACAACGGTTCAAATGTTTATGTGTTTTGAGCACTCGTTTATAATATATGACCCCGCTAATGTAACAGTGACGGCCCTGCCCACGCGTCGCGCGGCATCGTTGGTTGCCGGCCACCGGCCGCGACGCCCATATATCGCCGTGGTTGGGTGTAAAATGACCACAGTAAACGGCGCACTCTAAAACTCCAATCAACAATATCGCTGTGGTGTTGCTCAAAAACCGCCGTTGCTCTGAAACCAGAAAAGTTAGGAATATGCTTTTGGTGTCACACGGCCAGTGGATGCATGTCACATAGGCTGCTGAAAATTTGAGCGTGATAGTACGACATGTCGGAGAGGTAGGTATCTTAACAACCCATGCGTCGGGAAAGCGGTAACATTAGCGGCCTATGAGATGAGGGTTAAACGTTATGTTATTACTGCATCTAGTGTGGGCAACCATTTTCGTGAAACAGTAATCGCCATGTTTTTAACAACTGAAGCCATGGCAGGCAATGCAGGCAAAAAACTGTTTGCCTTCTTCTGCATTTGGTTGCTCCTTTCTTGGCATCACGCTGAGCTCGTGCCCAAAGACCAACTTCCTCGCAACAAGCGATCGTTCAGTGGCCCGGTGCCGAACTACTCTGATGCTCGAGGAGCTTTCCCCGTCCAACCAATTAAAACATCTTTATTGACCCCACACTGTTCGCACGTGCTTGGTGACAGGCAGGTTGGCGCGAATGAAAATGGCGCGAACGATCAGATGATTGACCAAGGCAACCAATCGCTGTCACCGCGTAAGACAGGCTGAGGTGAACGCTGAAGACCAGGGGAAATATAAAAAACCCACGAATATATATATAATTTGGATACGATCACGATATGTTGAAATGTACTCAGTTCCTTTCATCGTTTCGTTAAGCCATTGGTGGTGGGTGAAGGAGCACACGGTGCGCGTAGAGCAAGGCTAGTGTTTGGTGCATGCTACAAATGCTCTTGAAACAGGAGACGCAATAGTGAAGGCGCCAAGCGACTAGCAGCCGACCGCATATAGCAGCACCGCAACAAATGCCAGAGTAGCATGGTGTGGGCATTTCGTGTAATGCGTCGCTGGAGAGGGAGCCACTGGTGCGCACCTGCTTACTCGAAGGATACATGCGCTTCAAGACTGGGTGTGAGAGTTTGTAGAGACAGCGTGAGTCAGTACACGTGCCCCACGCGAAACAGGCGCCAGCTGTATGGCATGTGCGAGTATCACTTAAAATAACACTCCTACCGAGAGGAGTGCCACATTATTTCTTCTGTCAATACTTGGACACATTAGTGCTTTACGACAAAACTTATGTTACAAAAATTAGCACACGCCATGACTTCTAGTGTAAACACTTCCGCTACTGATTCAGGATATTACTTCTACTGCAGGGACTTCACGCCGTATTACCGCCACGCGAAAAACTTGTGCATCAAAAAATTGTACTCATAATTACTCCTGCAACAACATATAGCCATTATCCATACGCGACTTTACTTCTACTGCAAAGACTTATACGCGACATTTGTGCTACACGACGGTACTAACACTTCAAAAATGTAGAGTTGTCACGCTCATCACCGCAAACATTTGCATGCTTTTTCGAACACACATCTTGAAGTCTGCCAGCAGGCGCCGCGGAAGATGACGAGTTACATTGTTGTCGCATGGGAACATGATGTCTAGAGAAGCACGAATGTTACGATCATACAGCAGCTGTGCATGACTGGCCGCTCGTTAAAGGGGTGCGCCGGTACGTGGTGAGAACGCCAAACAGCTGGTCCTGCAGGTTGCCACGGGTGATAACGTGCCTTTTAGGCCTTCTTCACGATCTGGACGGCACGTTAGGCCAGGCCATTACTGACCATATGGGGGGGGGGGGGGGGGGGTCAGAATGGAGTTTGGTTCCCCGCGGTGCACGCCGCTCCCGCCAGGGTGAGAGACAGGCGACGCCATGTAGCCTCAGCAGCTGAGTGCGTCGTTGAGCCCTAATGACACTGAGACATACTAACCATACAGCAGGGCACACCGCGAACGACCCGAATACCGTTGTCGGACAAAACGTGAGTGAACACCTTGGACTGGAAAGGGAGTCCACTACGGCTGACAAATTTCAGGGAAGCCCGAACTGCGCGAAGAGGCAACGCAGTTCATGGACAGTGGAGCTTGCTAAAGTCTGTCGCATCAGTTGCGTCGATCCACCACATAGCTCGCAAGAGTGTCCACTTTTCACCCCTCTCCACGTTAGTCGGATGCCACTCGTAAATTTCCACGAACGCTGCACATCAGTGAAGCCCTGCCTGCTAAGCTCATGAAAGTGGGATGTTTTGGTCTATTGATACGCCCCACTAGTCTTGATTTCCAAAAGCGACGGGTTCCATCCGTTCGTGTTTTGACATAATCTAAATACTGGTCACTCTCGCGTCTGTTACCGTCTAACCCAGCGCACATCGTGACCTGTAGGCCTGGCCTGGCCTTTGTAGGCCTAGCTCCGCGCGTCACGCTGGTGCCAGGCGTGCAAAGGTTGGTATCCATGTCACGCGAGAAAATTACGCGGACGGTGACTTTGCAAAAACGTAGCTTCCCGGAAAGGGCACGACCACCCACCGATGCATGTTTAACGAAAAACGCAACGAGTCGCTTTCACATCAAGAGCCAAAACGCACCCTTTGGAGCACAGCGCCGCGAACAAACCGGTTTAACAGACCGATGTGCATACAGTGACCGGCTCTACCCACCGTCATCGGCGTGCTGGACCCCTCCAGCCATTCCTGGATGCCGATGACGATCCCGGCTCAGCACGGCTGGTCGTCTTCCCAAGTCTCGTCGGTCGCTCTCCGGCTGATCCGTCTCCGACACGAGGCACGGCCTCGTCCGTTTCCCTCACCAGCCTCGTCCACCCAGATACGAGGCTCGTCCGCCTCCGTCACCAGCCTCGTCCTCCTCAGGTATGAAGCTCGTCCACCTCCGTCGCCAGCCCCGTCCACCACAGATATGCGGCTCGTCCGTCTCCGCCGCCGTCGTCCCTCCAGGCAGCTACTGCGGCGGCACACTGTTCTGGCGAGCCTCCGAACGCCTACGTGATCTGTGCGCCGCAGCAGAGCGCTCCGCAGTCGGCCGACCTTGGTCGGAGCGTCCCTGCACAGTCCGGCGTGGAAAGCGTGGTGACCCGACGTGGCGGTGCAGCGCGCCCTCTGCCTCGTCACGCTTGTACACATACGGGGGCGGGTCCGGCTGGCTCGCCGCACGCTGTGCGGACGCTAAAAAATGGCTGAAGACCGAATCTATACGCTGTCAGGCTGCTCTGCCATCTCTACCCTGATCTGCACCAGCTTTGTTGCCAGACCGCCCTCCATGTGCTGTTCCCCTTGTTTGCTGGCATGTTTCCGCCCAAAAACTAGTTTCATAAACAGCCTCAAGCCTTTATTTCGTGTTATCTGCTCCATTTAGCATGATCCCTCATACGGGTACACTTTCCTTGACAGTTGGGGACGTCCCCAGCCCGCCCCAAACCATGAAGAGAAGGTGGGTAAACCCGGGAGAAACCTGTTCTTGGCCTGTTTTGTGGGCGATTGTAATTTTAAGCCATTTTCCCTTTCAGCCTCTCGACTTACCTTGCGACATCACCCCTGAGCCCTCAAGCGACGCTGGCGGCTGGATTGTCGTGGCCGCTCAGTTGACCCGTTTGTCATATCCTGAACTAGCGCTGTGTAAAACTTCCGTAATGTCGTGATATTTGATGCACAGATATTGCTGCAGCGGAGCAAACATACAAGTATGTTCTGGGTTTGACTTATGAATCTGACGCAATGGTAGATATTGTGATATTCAGCACCTGGAGGATGGATTCCGCCTTCCTCTGGGGCCGACGTTTGATTTGGCCATCCCTCCCTCCTCCGCTTTTTCGGAGATTACTGCACAACAAAAGACGTCTCTTGCTTCATCTGCCACTACGAAAATTATGACAGGTAGAAAATTTCCTAAATCTGGCAGACTTCCTGGCGGTATTTTTATTTCCATCAAGTTCAAAAGATGACGATCCGAAAGCTGTATCGAGTCGGCACAGTTTTTGGACCGGCACCATCTAAACTTGATGAAAATGCTAAAAACATCCTTAGCTTTCTAGATTAAGGAAAGTTTTCTCCACCCGTTTTACGGCACGCTGATACCTCACCATTGCTATCACTCTTTCAGGCGTATTCATCAAGACAATGGTATTAGCCTTATTCCTCGGAAGAAAAAAAAACAGGAAAATGGAGATAAAGTTTGGTTGATATTCCGGCAGCATGCCGTTGCGGAAACAAAAGCCGAAGTGAATGCAGAACTGCCTGTCGATGATCCTACTCAATTTTTCAGGTTATTTTTTCAAACAGCAAGCTACAGCTTTTATAGCACGCCAACCTTCAGGGAGATAAGCAGTGTATCTCGGTAATGGCTGGCAATTGCTCTTTGTTTAATCTCCTGAATGTTGGCGTCCTGTAAAAAGCTGTGACTTGCTGTTTCAAAAAATAACCTGAAAAATCGGGTAGGATCATCGGCAGGCAATTTTGAATTCACTTCTGTTTTTGTTTCGATAAAAGAGTGTTGCCGATATACCAACCAAACTATATCTCCATATATATCCAAACATATATCCTGGCTTTTCCAGGGAATAAGGCTAATACAACTGTCTTATCTATTAGCATAATGTTCCTCGCTAACGCACTGAACAACTGACCTCGCAATGAATGCACCGAACAACGACCTCGCTAATGTACCGAACTTAAGTTTTCATCAGGTATCACATATTACCTCCTCTGCGTTTTGCTGCGTCCCAATGTATCAATTTCGCAACATCCCTGAGATTTACTGACGCGCTGTGAAGTTAAACCGATGCAACCGGCCGCTTTCAATGCGTTCATCATCACGTGTATGGCAAGTGGAGACCATGTTAACTAACTTGGTGGGCTAAAGCTCGGTTTCGTTGGGGCAATGCTGAATATGCCTTGTAATGTCCAATATTTGGCACAGTTTTGGTCTTGTTCTCTTAAGAAGGAAGGTGTCGTTTCGTGTTGCAACGAAGAGGTTAGAACAATCCGATTCGTGGCGTTAGGTTCATCGTCTTGCTACATGTTCAACCGAAGGAAAGCTCACCGCTACCGAATATTCTACACGAATGACCTCATCTGCTCCGAAGCGGTCCTAAATGATATGAAAACACTTTTCACCTTTGCGATGCTTGTTTGAATGCCCAGCCTTCAATTTGCGGGGGCTGTTCCTAGATACTCGGAGTTATTAAATAAACCGGATGAGCGGTGAATTGTGTTGGTTAAAGGTAGCGTTTCACATTTGGAGATATCAAAGCAAGCATCAGATATGATGAAACAAGGTCACATAACCGTTGGTGTACTTTTTAAGTGGAAAATGCTGTTGCGGTCAACACAATTATCTGCTGAGGAAATATGCTACTCAGTGCGTCATGGTTTGGTTGCGTCATCACGCTTTGAACAGAATTGATTGAGAGCCAATGACCGCCATTATATCTAAAAATAGCGCTCACGAACGCCAAATATGAACGCCTCGACAATTAAATCGTACTTGGCCTTGATCACTGCACGGCTTAATTGATAGCAGGATTTGAATGACGTTATTATGACGTCATGAATTACCAGGTGGTTTTGAAATACTCCACGCGATATACCTTTCCCCATTTTGCGGGCGTGTAGTTCAGAAACTAGAGAGGCTTAGATCCTAAGAGAGGAATGACTGAGAACGACACCAAAAGGTCTTCAAGGTGTCTATTTCGGTTCAAAACCCCATATAAATGTGGAACACTCCCGTAAAGGCAATTAAAAAGTTCCGTAAGCTTCCGATTATTTACCATATTCATAATGAATTACCGCTCCTGTTTCGGTTGTTTCAAGTCAGCCTTAACACCATGCGTTACGGAATTCGTGACGTTCCTATCAGCGTGCGGACCCTATCAGCTGAGATAGGGGCGGTGAGCGTGAGCGGCCGGCGGCGAGCAGGCCGCCGCCGTCGCCGCCCCTATCAGCTGAGATAGGGGCGGCGAGCGTGAGCGGCCGGCGGCGAGCAGGCCGCCGCCGTCGCCGCCGCACACCTGACCAACAGCAGCCGCCGACGGACCGCCGCAGCCATGGCCACACTGCGCCAGCTGCAGACACTGCGCCTCGTCCTCGCCATGCTCGTGCTGCTCAACATCACCCTCACGGTCGTGTGGATTAACTTCTCGGACGGGGGGGCGTACTTCATCTGGGTAATAAATATCACCATCTTCGTGATACTGATGGCGGCGACGGTGATCGTGAACGTGAAAATCCGGCAGCGCCTGCTGCAAGCGATACAAGGCGCCGGACGTACGGCAGTGGTGCTCGACCGGCGGGGTCAAGGAGTGTTCGTCATCGGCACCGCGGCGCCACCATCGTCGGCGCCACCACCACCGCCGCCGCCACCGCCCGGGTTCGTGACCGCCGAGCCGGCACCGCCGCCGCACGGCGCGCCCGAGCAGCCGCCGCCGCCTTACAGCGAAGTCGGCCACTGGACACCTGCGGCCACGCAGCCGGCCGGCGGAGGCCCCACGTCCGCCTTCAACGAGAACGCCTATTGGAACCTGGGCCAAACCGGTAGCCAGCGCTCCCCTCGCTAAGTGGTGACCTCGACCGGAGGACCACACTGGTTATGGTGACCTCATTTGGAAAGGGGTCACAATGGTCATCATGTGACATCAGCTGAGGGAGCTAGTAAAACACCTGAAGAAGAAGAGAGTCAGGCCTAGTCCTGACAGCTATCTGTGACTATTGTGGCGCAGTGTGTGCTGGTGGCGATTGATGCAGGGCCGCACCAGTGGCAGTGATGTTCTGCTGTGGGATCGCGTGTACTGACCGAAGAGACTTATGAAAGATACAAATACGCGGTGGCGTGCAGCAGACTCAGAAGTATCGATTCTTATTTTTGTGGTGGGCCACTGACTCTTATTAACGTCCAGCGTGCCCCTCCCGCCCCCAGGTGAATTTGGTGTCCACCATTTTGGAGCCTAAGTTGACGAATGCGCACTTAAGGCCCCACATTGGATCTTTGCGCCACCCACCGCTGTCTTCAAAACAGGGAGCAAGCGCGGTCGGAGAAATGATTTTTGGAAAGGCGATGCTGGATCAGTCGGGATTGTCTCCTTTACCATGGTCAACGCAGCGTATGGTCGTGGCAAGCTCATCAGGTTTTTTCCTTCACATGGGTGAGTTTCACATTTTCTGTGAAGCCACATTTTGTTGTGAATCGTCAGCGAATGCTTCCATGCTCAATACACTTACGTATGCATTCGAACGCTGGTAAAGTGTGCAATACCACTGCGATGTGCGATGTTTATGGCCCCATTTGCGCCAATATCGAGCTGTCTTTGCTCTGCCAGGGCGGTGCTATTAAGGCACGGTATCGCAAAAGTGCGTGATATGGCGGTCGTTGACGAGAAGCAGTTGTTGATGTACAGTGATGTGTCGATCGGGCTGTGCTAGCCATCCTTGATAATCACACGTCACGAATATCACTGCGAATATCATGAGGTGTGTGTGAGCTCAGCACCCGTATGTGGTAATGTGCGCACCCCACACATCGTGTCGGCTACAACCATGGGATGTGGGGTTCTTCAATCGTGTTAAGCAAACAGTCCATACACAACCGTTGGCTATGCGGTCGCCCAGTGTCAAAGGATCACATGCTAGGAAATGGCTGGGCTCACCAGTATTGAAGGCGATGGGCTCACCGGTATCTTATGGCCTTCAGTACGCGATAGCGGTATTGAAGGCCACAGGAGCGAAAAAGGGTGTCAGGACATTCAGAGTCATGGGGGGTTGCTAACCCTTTTACATAACCCATTCACCGGGGGATACCTTCGTGCATGGCTGCCCCAGATTCCAGTTGCATCCCTTTAATCCTCGTGTGTTCCTCCAGAGACATAGGTTTACCCATGGTCGAGACAAT